GGCACTTCACACATGAGCCCCTCTTTACGTGGCTGCACGATTGTTTAGACGACTGAAATCCCACGAAGAACAGAAATGTCACTCAGCTTTTGAAAAAAGTGGCCCACTTTGTATGGTGTTTTGTCGTGCACGGACCACACCTGCCACACTGTCCTGCAGCATTTTCTAGCCACTTGTACTGCGATTTGCATTTTTACACCTCTAAATGGGGTTTCAGGGTTTGTAAAGCGATCCGGAATATTGACGTCCGGGCCTGAGGGATTGAGGTGCCTGCCACAGTGGTTGTGTTGCGTTGGGTGAGGAATCAGTCGCGGTGGATCTTACGGTTGGGGCCCCGCGGTGCGACCGCGGTAGACACTCCCGGCGCACCGGTGCCCACGCAACCACACGCTGCCAGGCGGTCCTTAGTCCTCCAGGCTCGTGGCGAGGGGGTCGCGGTGGCGCGTCGCGGCCCTGGGGAGGAGGGCCGGGCGAGGCCGTGGGCAGGTCAGGAGGGGGTGGGGCGCCAGCCGGCGCGGCGGGGGAGATGGCCGGTCTGGCGGGCGGAAGGCAGCCGGTGGGTTGGCGAGCTGAAGGCGCGCGAGGCGCGTCAGGGCAGAGCCCTCTCCGCCCAGGTAGTCAGGAGAGAGCCCCTCGACAGGGGGAGCCAATATGGCGACTTCGATACCGCCAGTTCGCCTGCGCTTGCCGGCGGGGTCGAACGTGGGGCTCGAAACGGGCCAGCCAACCTTCGCGGCACTTGGGGAGGGGGTGCTGGCGCTGGCCAGCTGGCGCTAGGTCCCCATCGCGGTCCTCCGGGCACAATACATATCCAGGCTGAATATATATATTCCGTACTGTGGATAGGGAAAGTCGGTAGCAACATGGACCACTCCGTGCATCGATATATATATATATCCATCCACATGCCTATTCACCTCCCGGAACGATGGAGGGTAGGGTGCCTCCGGGGGGGCGGAAGGGGGGGACTTCGCTCCCCGAAGCCACGCCCGGAAGCCCATCACGTGACTTGACGACTTTTCAAAAACGACCTAAGCCTCCACGAAAAAATGGAAATGTCACTCAGCTTTTGAAAAAAGTGGCCCACTTTGTATGGTGTTTTTACCGTGCACGGACCATGCCCATACAAAATTGTCCCCCCAGCAATTTCTAGCCACTTGTACTGCGATTTGCATTTTTACATCCCAAATGGGGTCGGTGGGTTTGGTAGAGACGAGGATAACTCGTCTCCGCATCTTCCCCGCCAGGCTGATTTCCTCTCCGGTTCTGATGGTTGCTGCCTCGCGCCGCACCTCAGCGCTGGGGGAGATCACCCACCGCAGCGGTGCTTCCGGGCACCCAGCAACGCCTGATCCCCCCTATACCATCCTCCCCGCGTAGTGTTGCTTCGGCGACGCCCGGCCTTGGATCTTATTGGGGGCCCTCGCCGCGCTGGGCCCCTGGTGTATCCGCTGTGGTGACTGAAGCCCGGGGGCTCTCTTGGCCCCCGGCACCGTTGGGGTTCAGGACTGATGGCCGCTGGCCATACCCGAAACTCAGATTCCTGGAGGGAGCCGCCCTGCGGGATCCGCCGTTCGCCGGCGTTGTCCACGGGGTCTGGACCCTTCATCCGAGGGCCACATGCCGCAGCCTGCCAGCGCCTTCACGGGCGCCTGGTCGGATCACCTGCGTGCGGACTGGTGCTGAGGAGTTTAGTGGGGGCAATTGGATGGTTTCAGCGTCCCCCCGGTACGCCGGGGGTGCCGCCGCAACCGGGCGCCTCGTGCGCCCCTTCCATTTAACTACATTCTACTCCCCTTCGGGGGTCCGGGCTCCCGGGACTCTCTCGCCGCAAGGCGGGTGGGCCCCCGGGATGTCTTGCCATGAAGTTACCCGGTTGATTCTGCCAGTAGTCATATGCTTGTCTCAAAGATTAAGCCATGCATGTCTAAGTATAAGCAACTTGTACTGTGAAACTGCGAATGGCTCATTAAATCAGTTATCGTTTATTTGATAGTACCTTACTACATGGATACCTGTGGTAATTCTAGAGCTAATACATGCTAAAAACCCCGACTTCAGGAAGGGGTGTATTTATTAGATAAAAAACCAACGCCCTTCGGGGCTCCTTGGTGAATCATAATAACTTAACGAATCGCATGGCCTTGCGCCGGCGATGGTTCATTCAAATTTCTGCCCTATCAACTTTCGATGGTAGGATAGTGGCCTACCATGGTGGCAACGGGTAACGGGGAATTAGGGTTCGATTCCGGAGAGGGAGCCTGAGAAACGGCTACCACATCCAAGGAAGGCAGCAGGCGCGCAAATTACCCAATCCCGATACGGGGAGGTAGTGACAATAAATACTGATACGGGGCTCTTTTTGGGTCTCGTAATTGGAATGAGAACAATTTAAATCCCTTAACGAGGAACAATTGGAGGGCAAGTCTGGTGCCAGCAGCCGCGGTAATTCCAGCTCCAATAGCGTATATTAAAGTTGTTGCAGTTAAAAAGCTCGTAGTTGAACCTTGGGCCTGGCTGGCCGGTCCGCCTCACCGCGAGTACTGGTCCGGCTGGGCCTTTCCTTCTGGGGAACCTCATGGCCTTCACTGGCTGTGGGGGGAACCAGGACTTTTACTGTGAAAAAATTAGAGTGTTCAAAGCAGGCCTTTGCTCGAATACATTAGCATGGAATAATAGAATAGGACGTGTGGTTCTATTTTGTTGGTTTCTAGGACCGCCGTAATGATTAATAGGGATAGTCGGGGGCGTCA